TCCGCACCATGGAAGACGAGGCCGAAGATTCCTCAGCACAACATGAAGATATTGCTGCTGAAAATCTGGTGAGAGATTTGATGAAGGTTTTATCAAATTGTTGTGTTTAAAACAAACTGCCTTTTCTTATACCATATATCGAGTGGCACAGCAACCGTTTTAATTGGTATGAATTGTTTCACAGCGCACACCAGAAAAGATGACATCCGTGATGGAGTGGCTTTCCAGCCAAGCTATCCAAAACACGTTTTTTGGACGACTCACGGGGTGTGTGAATTAAGTGTCTGACACTTACTCTTTATTTCAAGACTAGATTTGTAGTAGCATGATATTCAGAAGGCACTCTGTACTCCCTTTCAGGAATGTCTCCTCAGATGCCCAAAGGAATGCTGGGAGTTTGAGTCGGGCAGAGCGCATGGTCATAGCCGCCCACTCTAACAGACGCTCCTTGTCAACATCCCCCTGCAGTACTACATCCAGCACAACACCTCCAAGAGAAGATAATGTGAAAACCCCACCAGGCAAGTTGTTATTCGGCCACCACACAGACAGAGTGGAAAAATGTATGCTTTTCATAATACAAATGTTGTTTCTGTCTTTATGGGCTGAATTAGGTGGATTTAGGACTTCCAGTGACCAAATAAAGACTCCTCAAGAGCAAAGGAAGAAGTCTAAGCCACGGTATGAATTGAGAAAAAAAGTCTGATATGAAGGATAGATGAATTGGGGTCTGCAGAGTTTTGTTTTCATTCTGACCACAAAAAAGCACATTTGACTTTTTAAACCTAAATTACTCAGGGCTTATATATTTGATATTATTATTTAATAATAAAAAAACTGTTAAAATAGTAATATTGTGAAATGTTATAATTTAAAATGACTGTTTTCTAGTTTAATGTATTTTAAAATGTAATTTCTTCATTTAATGGCAAAGCTGAATTTTCAGCATCATTACTCCAGTCTTCAGTGTCACATGATCCTTCAGAAATCATTGTAATATGCTTATTTGCTGCTCAAGAAGCATTTCTTATTATTAACAATGTTGAAAACAGTTGTACTGCTTAATATTTTTGTGGAAACCAATACGTCTTTTTCAGGACTCTTTGATGAATAGAAATTTCAAAAGAACAGCATTTATTTGAAATATATTTTGTAACAATGTTACTGTCACTTTTGATTTAATGTGTCATTGTTGAACAAAAGTATTAATTTCTTTAAAAATACTATTTATATTTATTTATACAGTGGTGTTCACAAGAAAACAGTGTTAGGATAAAAAAATAAACATTATTTAAAATTATATTTATTTGTTTATAGTTATATTATTTAATGTAACAAAAACATGTTTTTCCATTGGAAAACAAGCAAAAGACATACCAAATATTAAAACAAGAATGCTAAGAACTCAAATTGTTGTGCTAATTTTGTAATTTGTAACAAAATGTCTTATGCCTGGTTCAGACTACACGATTTTAGCCCGATTTTGCCACGATTTGCTTGACGTAGGGTGTCGTGGGGATTCGTAAACGACAATGGCAAGATTCCATTGTTTCAGCACGTGTGGTGTGTCATAGTGACACTCTTGTTTTCGGAAGTCAGTCGCTAGTTCCACCTTCTCGATGACATCACGTGTGTCGTTAAAGACAGCACGCGATGAATGGTCGGGAAGCAACGTGTAGTCTAACATGTTTCTTGTCCAGGACATGACAAGATTTTAGGAGTCAAAATCGTGTAATCTTGACACAGTGACTATCGTGACCGACAAAAATATTGTGTAGTCTGAACCCGGCATTAAATGAGACTTTTCACTAGTGGTCCCAGACTCCTGGACTCTCTTGTATATATTCTTCACTCTGTATATAATTTTTATAGACCCATATATTCTGTATTCAATGGTGGTCATTCAGGCAGAGCCTTATAAACAGTGGCGCTCCACAGAAGAAATCCAGACCTACAGCATCCACCCATAAACCCAGCTCAACAAACCCACACAGAAGTGCCCACCAGGTTCCTCAGGGCTCTCCTGAGACGAGATGTCCTCTTTGTGGAGGTAATGTGATTGTGTACATGCACATTTGGGGAGGATTTTTTGCAAGCAAATATATCTGGTCATAATTTACTGCTCACAAGCTCTTCTTCTGTTCCTTTGACTTTTGTCCACGTAGAATGCTTCAGTCCTGATTATCTGCCTTTCCATGCTTCCACCTGCCTGGATGGTGATTCAGCGGAGCTCATGGGAGTCAGGGAAACAGAGGTCATGAGCTCACAGCACTCTTCTGTTTTTGGCTCTGGCGCAGATGAGCAGCATATGGTTCCATGTCCTCTGTGCTCCTTCCGATTCCCCCCAGACTGTATCCAGCAGCACGCCAGCACCTGTGGAGACACAGTAGAGCCTGGTACTGTGTGGCTGAACTGAGTGAAGCGCATGTGGCCTCAGAAACCTTTTCAAAATAGCAACATCAGGTATTCTCTTGGTTTCTCTGGCCTTGGACAAAACACCTGTCAATAAACATTGTGTATCGTACTGGCTTATGAATTTTGCAGAATGTACATGCCTCCTAAAGGACTGTTTTTATTGTTTTTAGAGAGTTTTAGATTTATAGCATTGGTCACTATGAAATGTTTGACTGACAAACATGTTTTGACTAAAAATGTTTGTCGTCTTATCTGCTTTTCACTCTCTTTGTGATATCAATTAGTATGTTAAATATTGTTTGTAATTGTTTACATTATATTTTCATAAATATAAAATATATTATTTAGAATGTTTAGATTTTGCCCTGTCATTTTTATCACTTGCTCAACAACAAAAATAAAAAATTTTTTTTAGGGATGCACGATATATCGGCCACCATATCGGTATCGGCCGATAAATGCTCATTTTTTCTGTTATCGGTATCGGCCCGATAAGAAAATTTGGCCGATATCTTAAAGCCGATAAATAATGCATTATTTCCTTCAGAGACACTTCAGATGCGCGCTGTTCATTTGCAGCCTTTTGTGCAATTGTACGTTGTAATATTGTGTTTATTTGATGTATATCTGATTTATCTCATATAGAATGCGTTTGGTTAAGTTAAAAGAGAGCTTCAGTTTACCGGTGATCATCTTTAGCTCAGCGCACGCAGCTCAAACAGCAGTGCACTACATTAATAACTATGATTGGGAATGTCGTGTATATAACATTCTAATGAGAACATTATTATAATAAAACGTTGTGAATTCTTTGGGTTTAGATGCTGTGTTTCAGCGCGTTGTTATGGGAAGAGCGCAACCACAACAGGATCATACATTCTGACTATAGCACGCAATAACT